CTGTAATCCTTAAGGAAACAGATTTCCAAGTTTTTCTTTCATATTGCTGCTGCGTGAATTTGAACTGGCAATCTTTAGATTAGTAGTCGAGTACAAACTGCTTGTGCTGCCCAGGGAGAAAACCATGATAATTTTTTCTAAAACTGTATGTTTTGTTAGGTACAATATGAACGTTTTCACTTTTCTGAGTGCCTTCTATCTTTTCTTTGGACTTCATTTTCTGATTTTCATTTAAAGACTTATTCTACTAGAACTTATCTGATATCCTACTGTCCAGTTTATCTAGCTCTGTAAGTTTTATGGAATGTGACTGTATTTTCCCTGCCTCTAACGTATCAGTAATCACAACCCACAAGAACCAGCTCTGAGGAATCTTAGAGTTTATAGGGTAAGCTCTCTTAGGTACAACACACTGGGAAGGGGTATAAAATAAATGATTATCAAAACTTTACAGGCAGCAGTTAGCACTACTCTGCTTCTCAAAAAACAACTGTTTTATTCCATCAATCTGAAGGATTATTGGAGTTAGACAGCTTTTTAATGGATAGATTTGTCTCCAAAGTCTTGTTTCTCTGTTTTTTCCCACCTAGTTGATATTCCTTGAAGAACTCAAGATTGAGTAAAATTGACATTCTTTTGATCTTTTGAATTATTTATTTAAAAGAAAGCATAAATGATGTCTAAGGACTCTCTCAACCCTAGGTTTTCATGATGGTTTAATATTTAGTAGTAGGTCATGTTGGTCATGATACTCAAAAACCATCTAGTCAGTTGCCATCTAGTCAGTTCTGACTCATACAAACCCCTATTGGGTTTCCAAGTCTTTCCACTTGACTGCTAACCAGAAGGCTGGTTGTTCAAACCCACTAGCCACTCCTCGGAAGGAAGATGGGGCAATCTACTTCCGTAGTGATAGTGCCTCAGAAACCCAAGGAGGGGTGGCTATGAGTCGAGTCCAACTCGACGGCACATAACAACAACAACAAACAACAACAACAACAAATCTTTATAGAAGCAGACTGCCTCATCTGTCTTCTGTGGAGCAGCTGGAGAGTTCAAACCACCAACCTTTTGGCTAGCAGCCAAATGCCTTAACCACTACACCACTGAGCTCCTTAATCAGGATACTAGTCACTCTGTCAAACCTTACTTTCACTCTCAACCATCATCCCTCTATCAGTATAAAACTTTTCCATTTATTTAATCCAAACAAAATTTTTTATAAACTTCACTTGCCCTCACCATCCAGTTTAAAGACACCTGGCTGAATTTCAAAGGAAAAAGATACAAAAGAATAAAAAAATAAACAAAAAAGACAACTTCTTTTTGCCCTAACCTCTAGCAGTTTGACTGATGCTTACTTGTGAATTTTTCTTGCCACTGAGTCATTGCACATACAAAATTATGAAACTTTAATTTCTTTAGAGACTTGTTATATTAGAAAAATTGTTCCAAAGAAAGCAACAATCATGACATAAGCACATCTGGCTCTTGCAAATTATTCTTTATTAAGCTTTCATTTAATTACATGTGCTGAAAGGTCTGTTTTTGATTACTGTAATTTTTTTCATTTGTCCATCTGAATGATAGCAATGCTGGAAATTCTATATAAACCACCTGTTTTTTCTCTCTTACTAATATGACAAAGTTTGGGCTGTTTTGTCTGTGGCTGATGAACTAGGAAGTTTTTCTTTATTATGATAGAAATGTGACTATCAAGGTAATAGTTTAGTCTTAATAATAAGAAGAAAATAAAATAATTAAAAGGCATTTTAGGCATTAAGTAGTGTTAAGATTGAAGTATTTGACTTCTGGTTAACCATAGCAGATTAACACATTCAGTTGTTTCTAGTTTCACCCAAAACCTAATAAATTGACACTTAAGGAACATAGATGTAAACGTTCAAGTACAAATAAACCAAAAACCAAACTCCCTGCTATCAATTCAATCCTGACTCATAGCAACCCCTCCTTGGGTTTTCCAAGACAGTATGTCTACGGCGGTAGATTGCCCAGTCTTTCTTCTGAGGAGTGACTGGTGGGTTTGAACTGCCAGACTTCTGGTTAGCAGTCAGATGCCTTAGGCACTACACCACCAGAGCTTCCTTCAAGTACAAATAGTGGAGAGAAAAATATTTTGGAAAATGGGAAATGGTTCGATTTGTAACTGTCTTAGCAAAACAGAGAAAATTGATCCCTAAGACTTAAAAGGGAGCTCTGGTAGCATAGTGGCTAAGACACTTGCCTGCTAACCAGATGGCTGGCAGTTCAAACCCACCAGCCACTCCTCGGAAGGAAGGTTGGACAATCCTACTTCTGTAGTGATACTGCCTCGGAAACCCAAGGAGGGGTCGCTATGAGTTGGGTTTGACTCGACGGCACATAACAACAACAACAAGACTTAAAAGTATAAAGCCAAAAAGAATCAAGCACAATTGGGAGCTGAGCCTTTGAGATGCTTAGGAACTGAAGGCACATGTATCATTGAAGGCAGGTGTAAGAGGTACAAATATAATAGTAGCTGAAAATAGATATAAGGAATTTTAGAACCCCGTGTCATCCAGGTAACTACCATCTCCAGTTCCCACTCACTTCCCCAGTACACAACCTAAGAGAAGAATGGATGTTTATTCTCTTGAGACATTGAACTTTAGAGGTTTTGGTCTTAGGGACATAAGGTATAGCTGAGCATAAGGGATGGCATCATTTTGAAATAGCTGAGAGTGAGTGATGGTGCCATTTTGAAAACAAATAGGCTACATGGATAAACTAGACAGACCCACAGCTGCCTTCTACTTAGCTCAGTGAATGTTAACACAGAAGCCTGTACCAGAACCAAATCAGAAATTAAAAAAAAAAAGCTTTCTGGTGAAATAATCTAGGCCTAAAAGAAATGACCTACAGAGATTGACATTTGTGGGCTGCCAATGAAATAGTTGACACTCTGCATCATTACCTTATATCGAAGCTACTAGTCAATAAGTCTTCCTCTATTCTCAGACGTTCCAGTCTTTTGATTACATTACTCATATGTGAATAAGCAGTTAAGGAACACCAGTTATTTTAGAAAAGCTTCTAATATGAAAAAGCTCAAAAACCCTGGAAGAAAAGAGAGATAACAGTGCACAGAATAGAAAAATATTCAAAACAACCTCAAACCTATAATTCATTGTATCAAACAGAGAAGAAAACAAGATGCTATAAAAAGAAATAATCAGCATGGGGGAAATATGTAGAAGAAAACTCAAAATAATTTAAAAAAAAGGCCAGGCATACTGGTCTGATAGAGACCGGTAAAACTCCGAGATGATGGCCCTTTCTCACTCCCTAAGCCTGGAACTGAACTTTCTCCTATGGGTCAACTTTCACTCCAACAGTACACAGGCCTATAAGGTGAAGAGTAACACCAAGGAAGTATGCACTCTTTGGAACAGGCTCAAAGGGCCAGCATTTGCCCAGGGATAAGCTCAGAAGACAGGAAGGAAGAGGAAAGAAGGATGAATGGAAACGATAAACACAGGGAGGAAGTGGGAAGAGTGCTGTTGCATTGGGGGAATTGCAATCAATGGCATGAATCAAAACGTGTTTGAATTGTTGAATGCAAAACCAATTTGCTCTGTAGACTTTCACCCAAATCACGATAAAAAGTTTTAAATATTAATAAATAAAAATGAAAATGTTGAGAAAGAAAATCACAGTTCACTAAGTGCTTCAACTGTGAGTAGTATATCCATAGAATAATATAAAATAGTAAATATTGTTTCATTTTTAATTTTGTGATATTAACATTAAGAAATTGGGGAGGGAAGTATGAGAGCAGCATGATGAAGTAAGAAGGGTAAATTTTCATCTTCCTTCATAAGAAGTCAGTGGATCAGGATAGGATAGTATATAATAGGATATAAACATTTAGAAATAAGAAGAAAGATACCAGTAATAACAATTAAATGAATTTAAGGAGATTGTCTCCATAAAGCAGGGACTGAGATAGGGAGGAATGGAGCTGGAAAATCAAGGCCATCACGCCTTACTATAGATGTTGTGCACTGTTGGTGATGACCATGCTAGGTCTGTGTTTTGTTTGCTTTTATGCCTTATAGTACTATTACACTTGTAATACTATGTACAAGAATTACTTTGATAAAAATTAAAATTATGTAAAAAGAGAGTGCCCTACTTGTCTTTCAATCTTTGGCCATATCATATAAATCAACATTTTGGGGCTGACAGTTTTAAGATTTATATTGTCAGGTTGTCTGCTTATCATTTCTCAGGGATGAGAAACCCTTTAAATCTTAGCACACAGAATGAATAAGATCATCATTGGTTTGTTAAAGAGGAACCAGGGAGATCTGCTGAGAATCAAATGGGCAGCTCCTGTGCTGGAAAAAAAAGGTTGATATTTCTTCTCCACTAATCTGACCATTTTCTCTTGAGGATTGTGTTATATGGTGCCTAGAAATAAGGTCCTGAAAAATGAGTGACTCTCTTTGGGTCTCAGGGATCTTGAGGGCAGCACTCTTAGAATGACCAGCTTCTCCAGAAAATTTGGTCAGTACTAAATAAGAAAGGTGTGGATCTTGCAGGATATCTTTTCCCTAGAAAAGCTCAGGTTAGTTTCTTAGGTCATGGAAATTAATATTATATAAGTGGTCATACCAAAATTATTAAAGCACATTTATAAAGACAATCACCAAAAAGGATTTTTTAAAGACCATTTAGTCAAATTCCTTTTTGTATAATTGAAAAAATTGAGTTCTAGAGAGAGATCAAGTCCTTTATCTAGGGTCATAAAATTATTTCTAGAAGAACTGGGGAGAACCACAGCTTCACTGTTCTTTCTTTTATATTACATGGTCTCTCTTATTTTCCTCTTTAAAAAATCACAAAAGAGAACAAGACTGTCAGAGAAATAATTATCTAACAATATGGCAAGTTTTTTTGAAACTCCATTTCAGCTGCATTTAAAGAGATCAATGTTTGTCTTCCCTGTTTTGCAGCAGCTCTATGCCGCTCAGCTGGCCAGCATGCAGGTGTCACCTGGAGCAAAGATGCCATCAACTCCACAGCCACCAAACACAGCAGGGGCAGTCTCACCTACTGGGATAAAAAATGAAAAGAGAGGGACCAGCCCTGTAACTCAAGTTAAGGTACTTGCTTTGCAGGATTGTGGAAACGTTTTGGAAAATAGCATCACAAGAAATGTAGTGAACCAGTCTGTGTTGGGAATAAACAGCAGGAAGCATAGCAACATAAAAAGGAACACCAAAATGCTCCTCTTTATGGTAAATGTCATGACTGAGCATTGAGAAACAGGTGTTTCCCTTTTGATAACAATAGTGCCATATTGTGAGATCTTTACCTAAATCTGCAAACTTACTTCTCAAGAGTTTTTCCCTTTGGATTCTGGCTTTTATTTTTTAATGTTTATTGGCATAAATGGCTCCAGTTTTATCATAGCCAGTCTTTATCACAGACTTGTGACACTTCTCTCCAAATTCTTTAAACAGGTGGGGAGTCCACTTATAGTACCAGAGGATCTCAATACCTCTTTTTAGATTTAAAAAAGGTGGACAAGGAAGAATCCAATGCTAGACCATATATATATATATGATCTAGCATTACATACACACACACACACACACACATACACATATAGTTGTTGATGAAAGCCTTTCCTTAAACAATATTTATAAATGTGGGCTCTGAGTAATGAATGGTGTCATTACTTATTCCTACTTTTGATGATACACAGTTGTGATAGGATAAAGAGGCTATCCCAGGTTAGAGGTAGAACATTAACAAATGCCTTTCTTCACTTATTTTCAGCGTCTTGAAACTAGGCAACCAGGAGTAGACAGAAAAACATTGGTGTGCCATTCCAACTTTCTGCTGCAGCTGGTGCCCATAGGTGGTGCCAGTTGCTTTTTTTATGATTGTCTTTGTTTCCTACATTGAATTACTAAATACAGACAATTCAAAGAAATGTATATATATATAATTGTCTTATCTACTTGGAGGGATATGCTAAGTACAGACATTTTTATTGTAACATACTGAAAGTACTCCATTTGGAGACATTTTACAATTATTTGATCTTCACGTAGGAAACATCGAGGCCAACAAAACTCAGCTCTGGATACTACAAAACCAATGGAGTTGTTTTATTTCCTAAATTTGTAAATATGAATTTTGAGATTTTAGAAAGTCTTTTAAAAATATAGATCCCAAACACCAAAGATTAAAAAAAGTGAACATCGTTAAAAGAGTTCTGCTTCTGTCCTTATTCAAATAACTTAATGTCACTGAGGCTTTTAGACTTTTCCAAAGAAATCAGTGAACATTTATGTTTGTCATTAGAAATATTGAGATATGACAATATACAGTTTATATTTCATAAGGCAGCAATACTTATGTAAATACTAGTTTGTCCAAACAATATGTGTTTGTGTAAAAGGGTCAGAATACTACAACTCAAACCAAGGTACTTTGTTTAATCATAGTTGTTAGAGTATGAGTATATCAAACGCCAGTGACTTGAACTATTGAGTATTAAATATTTTAATGTGAAAATAGTCACTTTGTAAGTAAGTTGGCCAAATGGAACTGTACCAAACCAAGTCTTTACTGGATGAGTAAAATGTTCCCTGGTTAAATTCAAGTTTATATCTGCTTTTACCATTCCAGCTTTGTGGGCCAACTGAATTTTATTACTCACTTGACCACATGTAAATTCTTAGGGAATGCTATATGTAATTTGACTTGACTTTATTTTTATGTTGATAACAAAGGAAACATTTCTTATACTTATTAGATTGTACACTGTATGTGTGGATAAACATATATAGACCAAGACACAGCAAATGTTTTAAATAAATGCAAATTATATTCCTTGCCTGTTATTGATGAAGTTCTGAGAATAATCTCATAGTTTGTTAATTGAAATAATTATAGTCACCAAAATCTCTCTCATGTTTCTCTTTATATTCATTGCTTTGCCTCATTTTAAATTCAAACGTAACATGGGATCATAGTCTGAAAGTAACAAAAATAAGCTCAATTGATCTTATGTCCCTTCTTTTCCCTGGAATGCTTAACTACTATAAATGTCAAACCCAGAAGTCGTACACCTCTGCTCAAAGTCCACTTGTACCATTTTTACTGGCTGTGCCACCTTGGGCAAGTTATTTATCTTTTGGCCTTAGTTTTCTCCTCTGCAAAGGCAGAGTTAATATCATTACGGGTCTTAAGTGAGGTAATATACCTATAGCATATATAGTGAGTAATATACCTATAGCATCTATAAATGTGATGGTGATGGTGATGGTGGTGGTGGTGATGATGATGATGATGATGGTGATGATGATAAAGGTGGTGGTAGTGATAATGGTGGTTGTGATTGAAATATGTATATATATAGTTGAGTGCTAAGAGAGATCCTGGGAGCTCTGGTAGCATAGTGGCCAAGACACTTGCCTGCTAACCAGACGGCTGGCGGTTCAAACCCACCAGCCACTCCTCGGAAGGAAAGTTGGGCAATCCTACTTCTGTAGTGATACTGCCTTGGAAACCCAAGGAGGGGTCGCTATGAGTCGGGGCCGACTCGACGGCACATAACAACAACAACAACAAGAGAGATCCTAACTAACACCTAGAGGACTTCCACTTTCAACAATAATAGAGGAACGGAGAGATAAGATTTACCCCCTGGCTTAACTCAGACAAAATATATAACAAGATGGTTTTCAAACTCTTGACACCAGGTCAGTTGATAGCTGAAAGAAGGGAAACAGATGAAGTGAACATTACAATTATTTCCACTTACTTTCTGTTGGGGGTTTCTGGCAACAGTGCAGGGAGGGATACCCATACAGAGCTTGACAATGTTCCCGTGTAGAAGAAACAGTGTTCAGAGGTTATGGATGCTGAGTGGATAGAATCTGCAAGGCAGAATACCAGAGGAGAGAGCTGTACACAGAGTGAAAGAGATTGCTGAAGATCTGCTGAAAATTCCCTTGAGTCTTTAGCTGAATACTGATGCACAACTGCAAATGAGCAAACTAGTTGAGGCCAGGGAATAAACACTACAATGTAGCAGTCAGAAAACTGCAAAATTCACTAATGACTGGAAATAGCTTTTATTCCTGGTAACCAGAGTAGAATGATCTTCTAATGTTTGAGCATCAAGTAGAGTTTCCAGAAGGGTATTACCTCAATAGTGAAACCAAATAGACTAATAGCTATCCTGGGCCTGCATAACAAAGCTTAAAAGTCAACCTATTGTTGTTGCAAGCTGCTGTAGCATTGGCTTCTAACTCATGGTGACTCCATGTGTTTCAGGGTCAAACTACTTCATAGAGTTTTCTTGACTGTAATCTTTACAGAAGCAGTTCTCCAGGCCTTCTCCTCTTCAGAGCCACTGACTGGCTGAGCTTAAACCACCAACTTTTAGGTTAGCTGCAATCTCAAACCATTTGTGCCACTGGGCTCCTAAAAAACCAAAACCAGAGCTGGTTCTGACTCATAACGACCGCCATTGGGTTTCTGAGGGTATAAATCTTTATGCAAGTAGATCGCCCCATCTTCTTTCCATGGAGCAGCTGGTGGATTTGAACTGCTGATAGCAACCAAACGCCTTATCCACTATGCCACCAGAGCTCCCTGGGCTCCAAATGGAACCTTACAACGAATGGATTGTTCTGCATCTCAGAACAAAGCCCAAAAATGTTTAAAGGAATACATAAAACTTAAAACTCGACCCACCAATGTAAAATTCACAGTATGTGGCATCCATTCAGTAATTATCAGGCTTGCAAAAAAGTCAGACAATATGAACAAAAGTGAGGAGAAACATCAATCAATGTAAACAGACCCCAAAATGACACAGTTGGTAAAATTAGTAGATAAGGTAGTCAAAACAGCTATTGTAAGAGACTCTAGCCATAGCCAAATGAGAAGATAGGAGAATCTGAAAATGGCCCCCATAAAACTGTGAAATAAATAAATAAGCAACAACAGAAAACCCCCACCATTTCAGGGCTCTGGCAATTGACCACAGGCATCCAAATATGTGAGAAACATTTATGCTTCTTTTATGTAAGAATAGTGGGAGTCTGTGCCACTCCTCGGAAGGAAGGTCAGGCAAACCCAAGGAGGGGTCACTATGAGTTGGGTCGGACTTGACGGCAGTGTGTTTGTTTTGGTGTGTGTGTGTGTGTGTGTGTGTGTGTATGGCGTGACTGAAGGAGCCCTAATGGCACAGTAATTAAAACACTTGGCTGCTAAACAAAAGGTTGGTGGTTTGAACCCACCAGCTGGTCCATGGGAGAAAGATGCGGCAATCCGCTTCTATAAAGATTGTAAACTTTATAGAGCAGTTCTGCTCTGTCCTACAGGGTCGCTATGTATCATAGTCCACTCAGTGGCAAGGGGTTTGATCTGGTTTAGGGCATGATTACGTTATCAAACAAATAACTTATTTTCTCTGGAAGTTTTGTAGAAAAGGGGTCTGGAATTTGGGGTCCAATAAACTAGAATTTAAATTCTGCCCCTCCACTTACTGTATGGCTTTGGAAAAGTGATTTTATTACTCTAACCCCCCAGTTTCTTATTTGTAAATTTAGATTAATAACCCCAACTTCGTAGTTATTGATGATTAAATGAGCTTATATATGTTAAAATGCTGAGCACAGTGCTGGGTACATAATGGTCCCTCTCTGCATTTTATTTTTGTTTTCTCTTTCCAATCCTCCTTCTCAAGTATTATTTTCTAGTTTCCCTTTTTGTCTCCCATTAATCAACAGTCCTTAGTACTGGAAAAGACTTTGGAGATCATCTAGGATCAGGCCCTCATTTTACAGATGAAGAAACTGAGCAGCCCCAGAGAAATCTGATGTTTATCAAGGGGGGAATGTTCTGTTTCCAAGCTCTTCTATGTGTTTCAAACAATGACACTGAAAACAAATTCTCTGTGACTTCTCAGAAGCAAAATGGGAGTTAACATTTGCTGAGAATTTTATTTCAGAGCACAATAATGCTCATCTTAAAACTGAACATTTAAATGAATTTGCTCATATTACAACTGAATTTCTAAAATGATGGAAATGTTGTTATGGGTGTTTTATAGCAGGAGAAATGAGACAAAATAAGGCTGGGAGCTTAGTTTTCAAGCTCCTGGTTGAAATAGAGTTATAGGCCAGATATTTGAATACTGTGCTTAGTGAAGAAGGACATGCTGTCTTGAAATAGAAATTCTGTAAATATATGTAGCAGAGGATATGAAGAGACATCACTTTAAACATGAAAAATAAATTGCATATAGCATGGTATGTAAAACATAATTATAATGTGTGCTTTCCCTTTGCAAAAATTAATCTTAAACGTGAATTGGGACCAGAATGTAGACCATAAAGAGTGCCCACACCCAGAAAGCCACATAGAAGCTGAGCTGTGGCGTACGGCTTCCTGGGCAGGGACCCAGGAGATCAGAAGAAGGCTTTCCATGTTTCCATTTTTAAAGTCCTTGCAATTGTTTGATTTAAAATATATATTAAAAAATTAGCTGTGGAGCCTATTTATAGTTCCAGGAACTTTTCAGAGAGAGTAACACAAAAGCACTACAGAGCTGCTGAAATTTTAAATAATTCTTTATAAATGCCCTAGGTTAATTTAGATCCCTGAAAACACATTAGGAAATTAAGCTGTAATGTGAGCTAATTCAGATTTTAATTTGGCAAAAAGAATGATCCAACGACACAGTTAATGTAAATAGAAGCATAACACAGGGAAATTAATGAGGTTTCCTTCCGATGAATCTTCAAGGAGGTAGATAATTAGCTTCTTTTGTTATTATTGTAGGAGAATGTGGCATTGTCTCTGAGGTGTAAAATAACTGTGGCTTACTAAGTGATAATGTGCTTCATTTGTCTTTTTTTTTTTTTAAATAATTATTTATGCTAAACTCTTGTAGGATGAAGCAGCAGCACAGCCACTGAATCTCTCGTCCCGACCCAAGACGGCTGAGCCTGTTAAGTCCCCGACATCACCTACCCAGAGCCTCTTCCCAGCCAGCAAAACCAGTCCAGTAAATCTGCCAAACAAAAGCAGCATCCCCAGCCCCATTGGAGGAAGCTTGGGAAGAGGATCCTCTTTAGGTAAATGGAAAGGTCAACACCAGGAAGAGACTTATGAATTAGGTAAAAGAAAGCAAACTCGTTTAGTGATGTCTAAACCTTGTTTCCAAAGTGGTACTGAATTAATACTCTTATCTTTTCTACTGAAGCATAACCCAGTTTAGTATCTTGGGTAGTTTTAGGACTTATCCAAAAGATCATCATATAAATCCTGCTTGGATGGACAATTATTTCTATAATGGCTTCTTTCCCTTGTGAGTTAGATCTAGTAAACCATAGCCAGGAATTTCTGTGTTTGGGCAGTGCCTCCTCACTGAAGTTAGCTCTAGACAGACGAGAGTGATCATGAACCTTCCAGTGGCCTAAGGACCTAGCCCCAAATCTGCCTGTCAAAAGTCCAAAATTTCTTTGAAATTTAATATTTTATTTTTGAAGTATATATGAATTTTACGTCTTATCCTCTGGTAGCATAGTGGCTAAGGCACTTG